AAGGCAATGAAACGATATACGATAGGATGAATGTAAAGCTAATGTTCTCCCATGTAAACTATCACATAATTCATAATAAAGCATTTTTAAAAAGTCCACCTATGGGTCATTCCCACCCCCTCAGTACACAGGGTTGACAGGGATGGGCAACTTAGACAATGGCTTCATGGAAAGGCATGAAGTGACTGGCTTACAAGCTGTCAAGAGGGAGCCAAAAAAAAGGGGGGGGGGGCGCCTAGTTTCAGAGGGGTCAGGGGAAGGTAGCATCTCCACTGAGTGGTTTCCAACCTGTCTGGACGGAGCTGGTGAAAGGAGCTGGGGATAAGACTCTTTTGGTTCAATAGTGAGTAATTGCTATCAGGACTGACTGTGAGAGTTGCAAATGTAAAGGTAGAGTTTTGTAACAAAAGGAGAGGAGTTGTTGATCTTGTAGTCCAGGAACAGAGGATCCTGGGACCATCAAGAGAGAAGAACGGAGTACGGGACCCTATCCAGAGAAGCAGTGACGCCAGGGATGGAGGCAGAGATGATGAGGTGAAGAGACAGAGTGGTTGGGGACTCTAGGCTCAGGGAGGAAGAGGGGCTGTGTGCTGATGCCTGGTAATAGGCCTGCAGAGTGTATCTTTTGGTTGTTTGAATGGTTATATATTCCTGAGTGCTTCAGTGTACATCCAAAAAAACAACCAGAGGGAAAGGAAGCAAATGCTATTGAATGACGATGCACAGAGGGGATTGTAATCATCGCAATAAACCAAAATACGACAGGATGAATGTAAAGCTGATGTTCTCCCATGTAAACTATCACTCAATTCACAATAAAAACTTAAAAAAAAAAAAGTCCACCTGTGGGGAATAGAAGCAAATCCTGTTGAATGATGATGTAAGAAGATTGTCATCATTGCAATAAAACGATGACTGTAAAACCAATGTTCTCCCATGTAAACTATCACTCAGTTCACAATAAACACTTAAAAAAAAAAAAGCCCGCCTATGGTTGTCTCTGGGTGATAGGGCTCAGGATTCCATTCATCTACTGCTTTGTGTTTTTCCACATCATCGAGTCGTAACGGTTCCGACTCATGGAAACCCCATATGTGACACCCTTCCTTTGAGGTGTCTCTGGGTGAGTTTGAACAACCAACCTTTGAGCTACCAGTTGAGTGTTTAATTTCTGTTCCTCCCAGGGACACGCTTTCATAATAACTAAGAATGGTATAGGTAGTCAGCCATTTAACTCAGAATGACGTAGCCAACTGAAACCTAAACCAGTGCCATCAAGTCAATGTTGACTCACAGAGACCCTACAGGACAGAGGAGAATGTAGGTTTTCTGAGATCTTTATGGGAGCAGACTGCCTCATCTTTCTCCCAGGTAGGTTTGAACCGCCAGCCTTAACAAGCAGCCCCATGCTGAGCCCACTGTGCAAGTAGGGCTCATTAAATAAAGTATGTAGAAAAATAAATACTTCTCAGATGTATTTCTACTTTAATACAATCCTTTTACCAGCAGCTGCTAAAGTAAGGCTTTGCTCAGGGTGCCTGTCTCAGACCGAACCATTCACATCCCTCTCCTGCTCCAGCTGTAACCCTCATGCCGTCAGTGGAGAAAACACAAAGCAACTCTCTCTCTACCTCTTCCCTGTATCTGCAGAGGGCAGAATGCCTTCAGGTTGAGCCGCTGCATCTTAACCTTACTCTCCTCAGATGGAACTCAAACCAGTCAACAGATCACCAACACAGGGGACCTTCCTAAATCCCTAAAAGAAAGTCTCAGACTTTTCCAAGTCACTTCCCAACTCCTATTTCTTTGCTCAACCTGCAAAAAAGAAAAAGAAAAAAAATTCAAAACCTAGTTCCACAGAAAGACTCGAAGAATCACGGAATACAGCCAAAAACACTTGTCAGTGCATCTTGAAGATGTTGTCTTTTAAGAATAGCAAATTATGCTAAGGAATCAAATATGCCAGAAACTCCTGAGATAATGACCCTTCCCAGACCGACCTCATGAAAGGAACTGTGTCAGGTGTATGGGGCTGGAGCAGTTAGTGGCAGGCATACCATCAGCTTCTCCATTAATTATGCCTCTCTGCCTTCAAGCCATGGGCCGGACATGCCACAGACAGGAAGCTGAGGCTTCCCAATGCCACCTACCCCAGGAGCACAGCTAATTTTGCATGCAACACTCAGCAAGTCTGAGGAGCCCCTCAAGGCATAGTCATCAATGGGAAAAATGACAGCGTTTCCATCACAAAAAGTCTCAGGTGGAAAACAAGTTTCTATCTTATAAAAATAAAAAAAAAATTGGCATAAAGAAAAAAAAAAGGATCTCAGAACAATGATTTCAGAGTTTCCAATATCAGCGAGGAGGACAGCACAGAGACGCAAGAGAGAAAAAGTGGGGCAGGAAGAGAAGTTCGACAAGGAGAGAGAGAGAAGAAAAGAGATTCTAGAAAAACAAGACCATCCAGCCCTATGCTCACCCCAAAAGAAGAGGAGCAGAGGTCCAGAGAGTTCCTTCGTACGATCACAGTTGCAGGAGGCCCAGGGCTAATGCTGGACAACGTCGAGTGAAATTGATTATGTCTCCAGCAACCCTGTAGGACAGATTAGCACTGCCCATTGGGATTTCTGGGCTTTAGTCTTCACAAAGACAGACTGCCATGTCTTTCTTCTGCAGAGCCACTGATGGGGTCAAACCTTCCGGTTAGTCGTCAAATGTTAACCTGGTCAGCCGCAAAGGGTCCTTAGAATCAAAGCCAATCAGCAAGAACTTTGGATTGTGTTTTTCCAAGAAGAGGAGTTCTAGAAGCTGAACTAATTCATCTTAAACATGAAAATACACATGGCATACTTCGTAGTATTTTGGCTTTATGTCTCCTCTAAATACCAGCCTAAAGTGTCCTGGTGTGGCACTGCAGGCTAATGCACTGGACAGCAAGGTCAGATTGAACAGCAAGGTCGGCGGTTCAAACTCACCAGTTGCTCCTGGAACCCTATACCGAGTTGCTATGAGTCAGAACTAACTTGATGGCACGTAACAAAAACAATATCAACTTTGAGGGAGAGAAAAATCAGCCTGCAGGATGATTTCCCTATTCTATTCAAATCTCTCCTTTGGGGATAAATACTAGCAGTGTGGCACCTACAAAGGAGACCTGGTGGCCCCATGATTAAGCACCCAGCCACTAACCAGAAGGTTGGCAGTTCAAATCCACCAGCTGGATCTGGTGATCTGCTCCCATAAAGATTATAGGTGAGGAAACCCTATGGGGCAGTTCTATTCTATCTTACAGGATCCTGGGCTGTAGGATAAAGCACCACAAGGTCAGTTTGATCCACAAGTTCAGTTTCAAACTCACCAACCACTCCTAAGAAACCCTATACCGGGTCTCTATGAGTCAGAACCTTAACAGCAAGAATGGGTTAGAATCAACTCAATAGTAGACAACATCAACAATATGGTATTTAGTCATGTGTTGTCTTGACTTGTGATGGAATTCATACCTGAGAATATGCCTTCCCAGAAACATCATGAATTCTTGAGACTCATAATTTTGCTCTTTATTTTCTCTACTAACTTCCTAAACTTCAACTATTGTATCATGTACACTGTAACCAAAACCAGTTGCCGCTGAGTCAACTCCTGCTGATTTTTCAGAAGTAGGTTACCAGGCCTTTCTTATGAGGCTCCTGTGGGGGGGACTCAAAACCACCAGCATTTCAGTTCATAGCCAAACGCATTAACCGTTTGCACCACTCAGGGACTGTCATGCAGACTGAGACCAAAAACCAAACACTACTGTCCAGTGGTTTCCAGCTCATATCGACCCTAGAGGACAGAGCAGTTGTCACATAGCGTTTCTGAGACTGTAGATCTTCATGGAAGCAGTCTGTCTCATCTCTCCCACTCCGAGCCACTCGTGGGTTTGAATCACCAACCCTGTAGTTAGCAGTCCAATGTTTAACCCACTGTGCCACCAGGGTTCCTTACAACAGTCACAACCAAACCAAACCTGCTGGTGTGGAGTTCATTCTAACTCATAACGACCCTAGGTAGGGTTTCCCAGACTAACTCTGAACAGGAGCGGTTGGTGGGTTTGAACCTCCTACCCTTGCTGTTAGTAGCCAGACACCTAACCTACAGAGGCACTAGGGCTCCTTGGATAGATGGATGGATGGATGGACAGACAACCCAACCCAGATGATGAAGCAGCCTGGACGTTCTGCCAAGTATACACTGTAAACCTAGCAAGTGGTGGTGGTGGTGTGCCGTGGAATCAGTTCCGACTCATAGCGACCCTGTACAGGGTTTCCGAGGCTGTAAATCTTTATGGGAGCAGAAAGCCTCATCTTTCTCCTGTGGAACTGCTGGTAGTTTTGAACTGCTAACCTTGAGGTTCACAGCCTGGCTCGTAACCACTACGCTACCAAAGCTCCTTCAATCTAGCAGGTAGCAGAGGAATATAGGTTATGTCTGTTTTCTAGGCCACGATATGACATGCCTCGGCAGACACTGACAAATGATCTGTGTGCTCTAAGACCTAGAACCTCAGACTGTTCTTTTCACTCATACCAAAGAACCCAAACCAAGCTCATGGCCAGGGAGTGTGTCAATTCGGGCTCACAGCAGCCCAACCCTACAGGACAGAGGAGAACTTCTCCTTAGGGTTTCTGAGACTAAATCTTTCCAGGATCCGACAGCCTCATCTTTTTTCCTCCAAGCCACTGATGGGTTTGAACCAGAAACTTTGCAGTTAGCAGTCCAAAACTTACCCACTGAGTCACCAGGGTTCCCAATATCACAAGATAGCAGTTAAAAAAAAAAAAAAATCATTCCTCCCAATTAAGGTGAGAGTATCATACTTACTCTGTTTTCATACATATTTTAATACAGAACATGTGTGTGTGTGTGTGTGTGTGTGTGTTCAGGAATAAAAACACTCACGGGGTGTGTGATTAAACCATAAATAATAATAGTTTTTTAAAAAATTAGCGCAAGACCTGGTATCTGAAGGAGGTATATTCAGGTTGGCTGCATTCATTGCCCTCTGTAAGCTAGGACTGATGGGGTGGCATGCTGTCGACACCTGGCTTCCTGGAGGTGAAATGGGTCCCAGTCGCTGAACCATCATGGAACTGCTGGTGACCACAAGATTGTTGCAGCCGCCTTTTCCAATGGACTTGCACTGAGAACTATAGCCAAGAGCCCCTAAAAACAAACGAATCAGGTTAGCATGCATGCCCCTCAAGTCACAAAGCAGTAAACACACATGTGTAGTCTAATATCCGGGCCCATCTCCCGGGACAGTCCTGGGATCATCCTTTTGTTTAGCTGTTGTTGAGACCACAGAGCATCCTTTCATTCCAACAAAAATGTCAAAATGTTACAATGGAAATATTCTGATCACCTTCCATTATTACCACGTATACAAAATGTGCCGTGAGTTAATGTGCTAGACTGCAAGGTCAGTGGTTCTAACTCACCAGCTGCTCCTTGGAAACCGTATACAGGGTCACTATGAGTCGGAACCGACTTGACCACACTTAACAAAAACAACAAAGTACAAGTACCCAGTCATATTAAGGATCATATTTTCGAATCGCCTTATCTAAAGGGTTAAGGTGGGAAGTAAAGGGTTACTTCTATCAAACCAAGTTTTTCTTAGACTAGCTAATGTCTTGAGCAAAGTTAGTATGGCTAGAAAAAAAAAAAAAAACCCGTTTAGCTGGTTTACTTCATTCCCAGGCTAACCTTCCAAAAACTTTCTTTTAAAAGGATATTGCCTGGCTGTGTCTCTCCAATCTTGATTTTTTTTTTTCCTCTTCATTCCAATCCATTCTCATTGGATATTTATTCAATTTTTTTTTTTTTTTTAAAGGGGAGATGGCTTGATTAAAACACTCATTCTAAGCAGTATAGTAACCAAATTCAACACTGATTTTTTCATTTTCCTTTGGACCAATCTTCTAATGTAGTAAAATTGGGGACATATTCAAAAGGGATAAAAAAAAGAAAAACAAAAACAAGAAATTCACAAGAATCAGTGTCATTATAGAAAAGTAAAAAGCAGATAGTTACAGCTCATTTTAAAACCGAATCATCATGATCTACTACTCATTCTTGATGTTTTGTTTCTACTTTTACGCACATTGTGTTAGGTAGGCTACACCTGGTCAGGTCCCCCAAAACTGCCCAGTCTGTTTCCATAGCTAACAAATGGAAACTATGAGCTCAGTCTTTAACAAGTTCTGAAATGTTCTCCCCAAACTCTCCATCCATTTCATTGAAAGAATTGGGATCGAAGTAGGTGGAAGAAAGCAGGTCACTATGATTCTCCTTTGTCCCACGGGCTACAATTTTCTGTTTTGAGTTTTCAAACCAATAAATAAGTAGCCAAAAAAGTGCATTTACTGTAAACTTTTGTAAGACTCTCTTCCAAAAGCCCACAAAACCAAGGGATAAGTCAAACTCACATTCATGAAACCACATCTCAAAAGGGCTGGCAGAGCTAGGCAGGTTGTTGTTGTTGTTGTTAAGTGGCAGGCAGGTAGAGATCTGATCAAGCCCAGCCCCCTGGGTAACCGAACTCCAAGTACTAACTGACTAGTCCAAGGTCAGGCCTGGATTTAATGACAGAGCAGAGACTGATTCCACCAGGGGGTGTTCACCTGGCACCTGTGAGCTTGTATGCAGCCACTGGGATGAATATGTGGTTCCTTTCTTGGCCACTTTCCACTATTGACTCCAACAGACATTTTTCTCCAGATTTTTTTTTCCCCAGATGCACAAGGCAGAGCATCTCTTTCATCCCACCCACTGCAGCTTCTATCTGCTCTATCTTCTTGTGACTTCAAAATGTTAGAGATGTTCTCTGTTTGTATATAACTCTCAAGCATTGTACCATCAAAGCTTCATCTAACCAGCAAGAGTGCTGGGTAAGTGTTTACAAAACGCATCATAAACTGAGTATCTTTACCAATCCCGACAAACCACATGCCACTTGCCCATCGAGTCAGTGAGTCAATTCTAATGTGTGTCAGAGTAGAACTGTGCTCCACAGTGTTTTCGATGGCTTGCTCTCTTTTCCCAAAGGAAGTGCATCACTTGGTCTTTCCTCAGAAGCACCACTGAGTGGATTCCAAATGGCAACTTTTCAGTTAACAGCCAAAGTCTGTACCACCTGGAGATTCCCTTTCTACCACAGATAAGGCAATATGGCAGCTCACAGTCTCGTCCATTATACTGTTACTGTTGACCCTGTAAGCTATGGTCAAGCTGGTTCAATGTCATAGTGATGCTGTAGAAGAGTGTAGAACTGTGTCATAGTGTTTCCTAGGCTGTCATCATTATGGGACTGGAATGTCAGACCCTGTTTTCCTGAGAAGCTCTGGGTGGGCTTAAAACACCAAGTTTTGGATTAGCAGCAAAGAGCTTAGACCACTGAATCACCAGGGCTCCCATATATAACACATGTGAATTATTTCCCTTCCCTTGTTCTATGGCTATAAGCCACTGCTGTTAAAATCAGCAACCGTTATTAAATAGTCTGTCAAACTCCATGTCATACATTCATTTGAAGAACTCAGTCATTTCATCTTCCTTCTTAATGTTGTAAAGTGCCATCAAGTCGATTCTGACTCATAGAGACCCTATATTGGGTTTCCAAGGAGCAGCTGGTGCTTTAAACTGTTGACATGGTGGTTTGCAGTCTAGTGCTAATCCTATGATACCATAGCAGAAGTCCTCCTCAATAAAAAGGTGTTAATATCTATCTCTAACACAATGGTGTTAATATCTACCTCTAAAACAAAGGCATTTTAGCAGCTGGTGCCACTCTAGAAATACTCAAGAAATACTCTTTGATGGCAAAGCCCATCAGTATCGTATTTTATCAAACCTAAGATGCCATCGACTATAAGATGTACCTTGCTTTCCATACTAGTAAGAACATGCACTGATGATTAAAGTAGTGCTTGGTGTCCAGATTTCAGAGATACAGAGCTATGGACACACAGGTATCTTAGAACCGATGCAATTCCAGTACGATAGCTCACACAAGTTCTTTTAACTCTTGCCTTCCCCACGTACCTCTCATCTTAGGATCCTTGGACCTGTCTATTTTGTGAATACCTATATCTTTGGGGATCTGATTCAAGGGTCACCTCCTTTAGAATCCATGGTCCCCAACAATTTCCAGTCCAGTTGGCTCTGACCCATGGTGACCCCAGGTGTGTCAGAGGAGAATTGTGCTCCACACATGTTTCTATAACTGATTTTGCATGAGTACATTACCAGGTCTTCTTCTGAGACACCTTCTTCTGGATGGACTTGAACCTCTAACCTTTTGGTTAGTAGCCAAGCAAGGTCACCATTTGCATCCCCCAGAGATTTCTGCCTGCTGGGTAGATCTGCCCAATTCCTCCTGGTATTGGCCCCATCACTGCTGGTAACACATCTGTCTCAGCACTCACAAGGATTAAAGAAACAGAATTGCTTCCATGCCTGTTACCCAGTCCCTTCACCTGCAGCTTTGTGAAGAGAAGATCCTCATCTGAAACATCTCTTTCCTCAGCACCTAGTCTAGGAGCTGGTACAGAGCACACAATAACATCTATCCAACGAAGCTAAGAATGAACGCAGGAGAACAGAATGTTCACTGCAACACTATTCAAACCAGCCAAAGGATGGAAACACACAACCTGCCCATCAACGGATGACTGGATGAACGAAATGGGGTGTATCCACACAAAGGAATGGTATTCTGCCCTAAAGAGACCTGAAGCCCAGATTCAGGGTAAGATATGGTTAAGCCTAGAAAACATCATGCTGAATGAAACAGACACAAAAGGACAGCAATTGTATAACCCCAGTTACATGAAACATACAAAGCAGGCAAGTGGAGAGAAGATGTTTATGAGTAGTTAGTTACACGGGCAAAGGGGAGTCAGTGCTGGGGGCACCGAGATCCTGTTAAGGCTAGTGGAAACATTTTAAATGGATGGTGGTAGTAATTGGATCACAAGAAGCATGTACAATTCCATCACTGAATTTGTACATACAAAAACATGTTGAAATGGCCAATGTTTTGTGTATGTGTTTGTGTGTGCCACAGTATAAAAAAGATTGTGTTGTTGTTGTTATTGTTAAGTGCTGTCAAGTCAGTTCCGACTCACAGTGACCCTGTATAGGGCTTCCACGCAGCGGCTGGTGAGTATGAAACGCCAACCTTGCGATTCAAACCAAGCCTGAGGTTGAGTGCTTATCCTACAATGCCACATGCAAACAATTGTTGTAGTTAAGTGCCATTGAGTCAATTCAGACCCATAGGACACTGTATAGGGTTTCCAAAGAACAGCGGGTTAGCTTGAACCACCGACCTTGCAGTTCAAACGCCTTTGCAGTCTGACGCATTAGCCCACAACGCCACACCAGGACTAAATACTTATAAATTATTTCCCCTGTCACCTCCCTCGTTTCCTTTACTGAAACACAATTTAAAAAAAAAAACAAAAGAAAAACTCCAATGAAGACAATTTTTGGCTGCTCTTCACAGTCCTCATTATTAAATACTCATAGAAGATACGTTGGGTGGGAGTATTGATTATAAATTCATCTTCCTGTCCCAGGAGTTTACACTGGCCGAGGCTGCCCCCATAATCCTCTTGTCTTGCTCCCCGCATTCCAATGCGGCTCTCAATCTGTAATAAAATCCTAATTCCTCCTTCCCCATGCCTCCTTCATACCACTCCCTTCTCCCAAATAAATGCACTGCCAACTTTGACCTCATCTGTCCAGGACAAGTAATAGCTTCTGTAGTAGACTGAACTGTGTCCCTCAAAAAGATATGCTCAAATTCAAGCCCCTTAGACCCGTGAATGTGGCCCTGATAGGGAAACAGCGTTCTTGTGTTAAAGTGGCCATCTGGAGAAAGGTGACCTAGCCAATGCCTTCTGGGTACAGTCTCATCAAGGAGACTCCAGACACACTGGGGGCAGACAGACACCATGTGACAACAGAGGCTGAGCCATCCACAAACCCAAGAATGCCAAGAATTGCCATCAGCAACTAGAAGACTTGTTGTGGCACTGTGGGTTAATGCACCAGACTGTAAAGCCCTTTGAACTGCAAGGTCAGTGGTTCAAGCTCACCAGTTGCTCCTCAGAAACCCTATACAGGGTCGCTATGGGTCAGAATCAACTCCACGGCAC